ACTGTGCTGCCCTTCTGTTGTAAGTACTTTGTACATGGCTGCTGTTCAGTGCCTGCAGCTGGGGGATGCAATGAAGGACCTGGCACAAGGAAAGGTGAGAAGTTGAATTTCTGTATTTATAAGTAAGTTTGAGAGTTCTGCTTGTTTTTATTTGTATTAAGAATCTCAATTCTGAATTAAGAATCTGAACAGTAAGTTACTGTTACACTGAAGTAGGATATATATATTCATAGTGAAGTCCAAATTAGAATCTCTACCTAACATGTGCCAAAATTACTCACACTAAAAATAAAATAAAAATAAAAAATTTCCTAACAGGAGAAAGCAATATCTATGGGCACATTTTAATAAGGTAAGAGATAATTTTAAAACATGAATTTATAATGTGTTTATATGTTATAAAATAATAAACACGTCACACAAATCACATAGTAAACAAAGTGATTTCTCTTGTGGGTACCTTATAAACCAAAGTGCTTATATGGAATGGTTGTGGGTGGGAAACAGTCCTTTTTGCTTTCTTCATGGAGTCCATTGATTGCTGGACTATCAACAGGGACAGACCATTCACGTTCAGTTCACCAGGAGAGAAAGCAGATTAAAAGAAGAGATGCAGATTGAGTGTCAAAGGGAAAAATTCTATGGTAACATTTTTTTGCCCCTTTTTGAGCTAGGGCAAGACCCATTCACTTATCTTGACTGGGATTTCAGCTTCAACTGGTAGGTCCTGTAGGGCATGCCCTACCCTGTAGGGGATGGCAGTGGCATGACCTGTGAAAGCTGGTAAATCTCTTAAGCTGGTCTTGCTCTGGGAGCTAGAAGCCTCTTAGCTTTGAACCTGTCAGATGTTATCCTGCAGTGTCTCCTGACTTTGGTACAGACTGCTGAAATGAGGCATTGCCAAGTAGATAAATAAGTCTTGAATTCTAACGTGGTGCTGACGCAAGCATAAAGCAAACAACCAGAAATATGTGAAAACAACTTCAAAGCAGAATTGAAACAATGTAAGTAGGCAACAACAGCATTGATACTACTGAGCCCCAAGGAAAAGTTAATTAGCTAGCTTTATGTTTTCCTTGGGCTCTATTTCAAAATAAATGCAGGCTTCAGTAAGTACTTGAAATGAACCATTGATTTACTTCTCTGGCGTCCTGAGGAAAAGGGAGAGTTAATTTAAAGACAGGAATTTAACAAAGGTGAAATACGGCCTTTCTGTGTGGAAAATGAACGTAGTCAGACACAGTGCAACAGAATGGGCTAGATTTCAAATTAAACCCTTGCATGTGAGTTACAGTGTAAGCATTTCAACCTGACCCAGACTCCGGTTGAATCACAGTTGCAGTTTTCTCGGAGGAGGTTGGTACTGCTGTGATCTCCTGATTCCAGCTGTGCTCTGCTGAGCAGTACAGCATAAACTGGGGGTACAACCCTAGTCCTGGGCAGGATGGACTCGCTCATGCACTTGTTTGGCCTCTTCTCAGCTCTGTTGGGGTCCATGGGCTTGGGCCAGGTGGAAATCAGAGCAGATTTGATCCTATTTTCAGTAATATTTGCCTTCAGAAAAAGCAAGAAGACTCTAATCCTACCTCTGCATCTAACCATCTACATGTATTTTATATGGTGTTTACAGTTTGGAGGCATGTATATGTGTGCAGGCATCAACAGTTACATTTCTGATTTCTGCACATAGATCTCATTTTTAGCTCTATGCTTAAGTACAAATAATAGAGTGATATTCTTTATGCTTTGTGTATACATGTGATTTGCATTTCCTGTACTTTGCACAGTTAAGTACTTGGCATTTCTGTCTCAAATATCAAACTGTAAGTAATGGTGTTTTGAATTCTGTGGATTGAAAACAATAAGCTGTTATTGAAATCCCATTTGGAGAAGTGCAATTTTCTGATTTTAGAAGCCAGGAAAATCTGTTTCTGGCCTCTCTGCAGTGACAAATATGCAGTTAGCTCAGTGTACTTTCTGTGGGAGTTGAACAATACAATTACCTGATAATTACAATCTTTGAAGATGTTCTGCATTAGACATTAATTCATAGAGGTGTGTGTGTCTCTCCTTACACATCTCCATGGATGAAGAATTTATTTGTGACAGGAAGCTTTCCAAATGATGGCATTATTATGTGAACTGAAGTTCTTTCCAAAAGCTGAGATACTGTCAGAATTGAGTCAGAATGGATGCTGGAAACTTGTCTCTGGTTTTTGAGAAGCTTTTTTTGTTAGGCACTTGATACTCTAGAACTGTTTTGTATTATGAATAGTGAAAACACTGTAAATCTAAGGAATATTTTAAAAATTGGCATACTGCATCAGCTGGTGGCCAACTAAGTGAGGACATGTGGGAAATGAAATCTGTCATTTTTCAATCATTATTAAATTCAGTGATGGAAAACTATCAGTCTGTGATGATTATTGGTGACCTGTGGAAAATGGATCTTACTCTGTCACTCAGGATCTCACTCCACAGACGTTTGATGGCAAAGCAAAGAAATAAACATCTGCACCCTTTTGTTGCAAACTGTTTGAACAGGGAAGTCAGGGGCTGCAGACAGGAGTGTGAAGGGTGCATGGGCTGCACCAGGCTGTCACAGAATGTTAGGGATTGGAAGGGACCTCTGGAAATCATAGAGTCAAACCTCCCTGCCAGAGCAGGACCACCACAGAATCTAGGGCAGGTCACTCAGAAACACATCCAGACAGGTTGTGAAAGTCTCCAGACAATCTTCACAACCTCTCTGGGCAGCTTATTCCAGTGCTGCATCACTCTCAAAGTAAAGTAGTTTTTCCTCATGTTGAGGTGGAACTTCTTGTGCTCTAGCTTGTGTCCACTGCCCCTTATCCTATCGTTAGGCACAACTGAAAAGAGGTTGGCCCTTCCTTTTTGACACCCACCTCTCAGATATTTGTAAACGTTATTAAGATCCCCTTTCAGTCTTCTCCAGAATAAACAGTCCCAGGTCTCTCAGCCTTTCCTCCTAAGACAGGTGTTCCAGTCCCTTAAGCATTCTTGTAACCCTGTGTTGGACTCTCTCAAGTAAATCCCTGTCCCTCTTGAACTGGGGAGCCCAGAACTGGACACAATACTTGAGGTGTGGTCTCACTAGGGCAGAACAGAGAGGCAGGAGAACCTTCCGTAGCCTACTGGACACACTTTTCTTAATGCACCCCAGGATACCATTTGCCTTCTTGGCCACAAGGGCACATTGCTGCCCCTTGGATAACTTGTTCTTCACCAGAAATCCAATGTGCCTCTCCACAGAGCTGCTTTCTAGCAGGTTGGCTCCTAGCCTGTACTGGTGCATGTTTTTGTTCCTTCCCAGGTGCAGGACTCTACACTTATTCTTGTTGAACCTATATACTAACATACAGCTTGCAGTTCTGCAGGTATATTATTCTTTAAAGGCCTGAAGTGCAAAGTGCTGAGAAACCTTCCTTTACTGCACTCAGGTTCACACATATCCTCGTGTTACACTGTTTGCAGCCTGGCATAATATTGCATAGAACAACAAGTCTGTTTTCTTGTAATGTGAATTCACAAACGGCAGCAGTTCAGCCTGTTTCCTTTGTAGATGTTGGCACTTCTGGGAATTTTCCATGTTGAAAAGTCTCTCATTTGTGATGTAAGCAAATGCTATTTATTAAAACCGTGTATTTTATGAAGACTCACAGGTCATATAATGTGTTCCAGATTTTCCCAGATGTGACATTACTTACAGAGACATTAAAATTTAATAGTATATAAAGTATGATTTAACATCACTTTCTTTTGTCATACTTTATTAATCAAAATACCTCCAGAATTTCATTTTATCATTAATTTGGTCCTAGTAATAGTCCTTGTACTTGATCATTTTCAGTGTTTAATACAGTTCATGTCATGTAATTTCAAATAATTTTTATTATTATTTTAAAGTATAATAATTATTTTAGTAAAATTTTCTTCCTGCTTTTTCACAATCTAAACTTGATGTACTGCAATGTGCTCCTGGGAAATATGCCAACAACTGTGGGTTGTAGTTTCAGGATGCCTGTTTACAGCTCATACACACTCAAGTGTTTGTTGCAGAGGGTACAATCCTGTTTTCAGAATCCTTGAAAGCACAGCATTGGTCTGATACACAGAGTGATATCAAAACAGAGTCTGGTAGCTGTAAACATAAAGTGCAAAGGCCTATATTTAAAAATAACCAAGTGCTCAAAATAGACCCTAGTTTTTCAACTCAGTTCAGCACTATTTAAAACTATGCTGTAGGTTTCAAATGGGATATGAATAGCTTTCAAGAGGTTGCTATTATGTAGATGTTGAAATGAGGGATACCATATGCCAAGATTCTGCTGGAGCCTTTCAGCATCCTCCCAGTGACTTTGAGAAACTTTAGCCATTCCAAAGGCAAATATAATGCTTCTCAGAAATATTTTTATAAACCCCAGTGCAAAGGCTCACATGTGCCTGAGTGCTCTCCAGTCCTTAACCCTGGCGGCCTTTGGGCTTTCCTGTGCTCCTTTGAGCTGGCCAAACCTGCAGCAGGACAGCAACAACAGCTGGCATGAATTCATTAAAGTCATTGGCATTTACTGGTAACCTTAAAAACAGGAAAATCATGAAATCACAGAATGTTAGGAGTTGGAAAGGACCTCTGGAGATCATGTAGTTCAAGCCTGCTGCTAGAGCAGGGTCACATAGAGCAGATTACACAGGAACATGTCCAGGCAGATTTTTAATATCTCCAGAGAAGGGGAATCCATGACCTTCCTGGACAGCCTGTTCCAGTGCTGTTGAAGTCCAAAAAAAATCACTCTTTTTGTCTAATTACACACATTTAATGGTAAGATTTAAAAAGATTTCAAGGATGACACTGTATAAAATGAGATTAATTAGGCCCCTGTTGTGTTAAGTTCACTAAAACCACAGGATTATTACTGTACAGGGCTTTTGTGTGTGTGTGTGTGCAGCATATTATGACATATGTATTTTGCTTCTTTCAGAAGATAAAGGGAAAGCAAAACCCAATAGTGCAAGTCAGCAGTCCAGTACAGAAGTGGGTTCTTTTCTTCCCAAACCTGGAGTGGCAGCAGTGGCACCTGTAACAACTGCCTCATCCTCTAAGAGCACCAATGGAGCTCCTAACACAGTTTCTGAGTCAGAAGAGGAAAAAGCCAAAAAATTACTTTACTGTTCATTATGCAAAGTGGCTGTGAATTCTCTGTCACAACTAGAAGCCCATAACACAGGTGAGTATGCATAGAGTGCAAGTCAGTTGTGTGTTACTATTTTTAAAACTCAGTGTCACGTGCTGGTTTTCTAATACTGTGGTAGCCACACTTCACTGAAGAGTCTTCTAGTTAAAACTTACAATGGCAAGTTACAAGAAAGTTAATAACAATTTCATGTGTGGTGTTTGATATTTTATTAAGGCTCTCTCTACGTTTTTTAGCTGTTATTAATGATGTTAGATGTTTTCATCACACCAACATCTGTAATGTTGTCAGATGTTTTAGTTGACAAAATCTCTACAGTTCATGTTACTTAATCAGATTCCATCATGCCACCATAGTGAGGATGATAGGGTGATCATAGTGGTCTCTGTAACATTAAAGTTGCTGAAGTGTCAGTTCTCTCTCTTTTATCTTTCATCTCACTCTCTGGTGTCTGGTGTTTTTGCTTGTACACTTTACAGTTATTTTTGTTATTTGATATTTTTGATAATTTTAAGGTGGGCTCCTTAGATTTCTGGGATGTCTTAGAATATTTTGTTTATTGCAATTAGATATGCTCCCTTTAGAAGGCCACAAGCAGCAATCCCTTAATGTGCTCTGGCTGCTCTGTGATGGGCTAGTGATGTAAAACTTGTTAACAAACCATTGAATCTGTTTCTACAGCTGAGATCTATTCCTGAAGTGGCCAAAGCAGCCTTTTCTTCCAAATCAGAGGATACTTCTTGAAGTCTTCCTGTTCCTAGGCAGGTTTTGAGTGATTGCTCTGATCCCCCTCCCACTCTTGGTTTGGCCTTTTTTCACGATTCACCAGCTATCTGGATTTTGGCAGAATAAGCAACAGACATCTTGGCCATACAGCTACACGCTGCCCCAAACAGAGAGGCAGTGGCCGATGGTGCCTGTTGTTCCCTTTTTGTACAAACCCTTCTTCTATTGTTTTGTTTCCTTAAAATCAAGGAAGTGGGAAATACGTTCACCAGAAACAGTCATCATTAATCCCAATCTGTGGTGACTTTAGCCATTCTGACTTGAAGATAAACGTGTTAAGAGTCCCAAGGCTAATTAACATGGCTGTATGTTGCTGATCATCATCTCACCTCCATCTCCTTGTCCATTAGGCTCCAAGCACAAGACCATGGTCGAGGCTCGGAATGGTGCTGGTCCCATCAAGTCTTACCCTAGACCTGGATCCCGGCTGAAGGTGCAGAATGGCAGTAAAGGCTCAGGATTGCAGAACAAGACATTTCATTGTGAAATCTGTGATGTCCATGTTAATTCAGAAATTCAACTGAAACAGGTATCTTTCATATATCTGGGGCTGCTTTGTTGCTTTAAGTTGCATTGTAATATTGTAGGTGGGGAGTAGGTCTGTGTGAAGATGTTTTGGCAAAAAGTGAACTTAGTATTTCTTTCCTGTCATCCTACAGTTATTTCTAAATAGTTCACCATAGTTCACTTTCACCTCATTGTTTCATCTGGAAAAAAAATGGGCTTGAGAGTAATAAAGCAGAGGTGGAAAAGGTGTCAGTATCAATGAATAACATTGCATATCTAGCTTAAAAGTTTGCTGTGGCTCAAGTGAGAGATGGATGGATTTCTTCCAGGTGTAAGAAATTCCGGGTTGAGGTTCCCTGAATTCCTCTTTTAGTATGGTTTCAGTCTGCTGGGATACTTTTTAATTCTATGTGAGAAGGAGAATGTGACTTGAGTCTATTGCTTTAGGACAGTCGGCAGGAGGGTAATGCTGTAGATATGTCTGAATTGTGTAGAGCAATGTTATCATTAACAGCACAGCTGTATGAACATACAGCTCTGCTCTGTCTGAGGCAATTAGCTCTGGATTCAAAGCTGTGCTAATAAAAATATGTTGTTTCTGATACTCAGCTGGGGATCTCTAACTGGATAGTGCTGTGCTGTCTGGATGTGTCCTCTCATTCCCTGTTATTTCAGTTATCTCTAAGATAGTATTAAATTGCATAGTGTAGCCGTATCCCTGGGTACTGGTTTTTCCTTCAGCTAATATTGCATTATTTATACAGCTGAACAGCGTCAGCCAGACTGAAATTTATCTCTTACTTCTGAATATCCCTATGACCTAGTGATTACAGCTCTGCCTGGTTCAAAGCTCCTCAAGTGGAAAAAGGAAATACCAGCCAAAATATCAATAATTTTCAGAGCTTGCCTCAGATCACAGAATTTGCTGTGTTTGATTAGTTTCTGATTCTCTATTTGATGTGCTCCAAATTGTTATGTTTAATTTAGCAAAACTCATCTTTGCTCTCTCTAAAGAACCTACTTTATCTTACAAACAGGGGCTTAGGCATATCCTGCTGATAAATCAATTTCAAACTCCAAACTGAGAAATGTTTAAACAGCTCATTAAATGTGAGGATATTTATTTCAGCACATTTCCAGCCGAAGGCATAAGGACAGAGTTGCAGGAAAGCCTATGAAACCTAAATATAGTCCTTACAACAAACTGCAGCGCAGCCCAAGTATTTTAGCAGTAAGTATTTTTATTTCTTATCACTATTGATCTGAATTTGTGACCCTGGGGACTCCCACTGCATAGACACAGGAACATGACAGACCTGATGCTTCCAAAGTGTTTCTGCCCTTCCAGGCTGCATCTGCATGGGGATCAGATTTGAAGATAGTTATGTATTCTGTCTGCCCAGCCAAAGGCATACAGACAGCACTGACAGTGTTATTTACTGCTAGGAGAGAGGGAATAATCAGGGGAATGGGGAATAAGCCATGTGCCCCATGGAAAGTTATCCACTCTGCTGGACTAGTACAGTTCTTGAAGGCTGCAATATGTATACTCTGTCTTTCTGGGCACCTGAGATAACGTGTGGTTGTGAGAGATGCAGTCAGGGAAAAGGACACAAAATGTTAACATATAAAAATACTAATGCTCATTCTCTGCTTACACCAGAGTGCTGTGTGGGTGTGTTACATTGGTGAAAAAAGTTACCAGGTGTTTAGGAGAATTGTTTGCTTGTCTATATGCTCAGGCTATGTCTGTCACTGGCCATCAAAACACCTCTCCAGCCTTTGTGCCCCCAGCCATTCCCTTTTGAGGCCCACCTGCATTTCTAGGAATTTCCCAAGCTGGTTCTGCCAGTTTGCTGCAGCCACAGTTCAGGCTGGCTCCAGCACAGATTGTGTGTTTATTTGCTCATGACTCAGCCTGTGTTTTATTCATTAGGCAAAAGTGCATGCCACTTTTGGCACAAAACCAATATATAGTTTGGAAAGAGAAAGATGCAAATGTGAGTGCACAGCAATAAGCTTGTGAAAAGCCTTTAAAGGCTGAAATATCAATATGTCTTTGTATTTGTACACAGGCAGATGAAAATGCTGCAGGCTTTCTCTAGGTCGCCCCATTCGTTACGTTCTGCACACACAAATCTTCATTTGTGTACTACATTATTTTATAATCTATAGATTTTATCATCTATATATAATATGTAATTTGTATTAGCATTTGTATAATACATAGTTTTAAAACCTGTGTTCTATAATAATAATTTTATAATCTAATAAGGCAAGGATGTATCTTCTCCCCCCTCCTAAGAGTGTGGTTGTGGTGCAAATCATTTTCAGTGAGACCGTAGTGTATGTATTTCTGGTTAGCTTTTTCAGCACAAGCACCAGCAACCTTTGCAGATCATATAGTGACTAATAATTCTTTCAGAAAGGATTCTTTGTTGAACTTCAAAAATATTTCTGTTTTGAAAAGACCAGCTCCGTCCTGACAAGTAACAAGCTGACTGTACTAACACTAGTTTCCCATCTTGACCACTCTACTTTTCTACAATTTGTTTTTTCAAGTAAAAAATTTGATGTTTGGCATTGAAATCTTAATCATGTTTTTTAATAATTTTGTGCAGTTATGGTTTATATAATTTAAAGTTCTTTACTTTAAAGGAAGCAAGTTATACTTCCTTCTGAAGTCAGTGTGGCTGCAAGAGATTTGTGTTGCTTTAATTGCCTTGGGAGTAAGAAGACAATGTGGGTAAAATTTCTAAGCAGCTGACATGAGAATTCTGTGACAAACCACAGCCCTTTGTCAGGGTTCATTTTTTGCCTCATGTAGAAGTGGGTGTGGGGGGAACCCTATTTACATTGCTTTTTTGTGTGTTTTATTCCAGGCAAAACTTGCATTCCAGAAAGACATGATTAAGCCTCTGGCACCTGCTTTCCTTTCATCTCCTCTTGCTGCGGCTGCAGCTGTGTCGTCGGCTCTGTCCCTCCCTCCCCGTCCCTCTGCCTCCCTGTTCCAGGCACCTGCAATCCCACCAGCTCTCCTCAGGCCAGGCCATGGCCCCATCCGGGCAACACCTGCCTCCATACTTTTTGCACCATACTAATTTATTAAAGTAAAAGAGAGGGAACTGTGGCCAGTAGAAAGGGTAAAAGAAAATTGGGAAAGGGGTCAAGATTTTAAAATGTCTTTCTCTTTTGCAATGCCATCCAGTGTGAAAACATCAACCAACCACACCATAAAATTCATCACTGATGGTACTGCCTTTTGGAGTCTAGGACAGGTCCCTTTCTCAGCCTCTCTCTGTCTCTTTTTTTTAAATCCAAATAGAGTGATTTACTAAAAATTTAATTGCTCATCAAATTTGTTCCATTAAAGATTCATGCATTTCTTTATTGTTTGAGTTTTTTTAATTTTGGGGTTGTTTTTTTTTGTTTTTTGGAAAGTGTATGATGCACCTTGGAATCAATGAACATAAAATATTTTCCTGACAGACTTGAAAACTAGGGTCTTCCTCGCTCACATTTATGTAAATACTTCTCTGAAAACCCATGGGATGTAGTCTAATGTGGAAAAAAAGGTAGATGAACCAAATGCTTGATTGTGGATAACATCTCAAAAATTAATTGCAAATTAATTGCATCCTTTTTTTTTTTTTCTGTGTGCTCTTGTTGACAGGGATTGTGTACTATCCTAGGCCCCAGTACTGGTGTATCTTGTGTAGTACTGAAGATGTCTGATTTTAGTATTTTTGGTTTCTGTGTAAACGTCTGAAAGCAATGCAGCACTCAAGCTTTTAATTCTTTCTTTTGTGTCACATTTTATTTAGAGAAATTAAAAATAGAAAGCCATAAAACATATAGCTAAGATTACTATTTGTTTGCTACTTTCATTTAACTTATTTTTATTGTTTCCTCACTGGTGTTGCTAAGCAATGTTTAAAGAGAAAAAATGCTTTTCAATTGCACAATACCACAGCTGACATTTATTGTTCAAGATGACAATGGATCCATGTATTTGTACGTAAATATTCTATTTCTCCATTTTTAAACTAGTTTCCTTCATAATGATGCTGCATAATGTTGTGGCTCCCTGATGCAATAATGTACAGAATATAAAATATTTATAATTTACTGTATTCTCTGTTTACTGAATATATTGCAGTAATGCTCCACTTATCTTCTTACCTTCCCAACCCTTTTATAAAGGTGATGTCAATATGCAGTATTCAGACTGAACTAATTATGTGATAATGGGGGACAACACGTGGAGGAAAGGAAAAAAAAATAGAATTATCTTTTAGAGTATCTTTATCTTCAATCCATAATAGTAAAATGTCTGTGTATTTTTTTAAATGTACCTTTTCAATAAAATAATGAGAAAAATATACATATTTCTTGTGTATATTAATTGGTACAGGAAAAAAAAAAAAAGCCTGGAACAATCAAATTGAGCTAAAGGAGTTCTGAGGAGCAGGCAAAGCATTAGAGTTGCAACCAAGTATAATTACAGAACCTGTGCTTACTTCCCTTGTGTTTTAACATCTTTTCCTTGTTACACCCTGTTACAGCCTTTACTGGGACTTTTTTTGCAGTAAGACTGTAAACATTCACTTCATCAGGGATGCAGAAGAAGTAGCTGTAGAGCCAGGTGAGTAATTATAGTTTTATTATTGCACCACCAAAACACTACAACATGGTTATGCCATCTCTGATGGAGAATAAGGATTAAGTTTAAAACCAGCCCGGGCATAACTGAGCTAGTAAGCAGCTCACTTTGGAGCCAGGACTTCCTCTGAAGCACAGGCAAAGTAGGCATCTCCTTGACACAACAGGTTTTTGAAGGCAGGTGCTTGGGGAAGCTTTGAAATGATCTTTTACTCTGCTGAAAAGCTTGATCTGTTCTGAGAAAATCTTTGTTACTACAAAGAGAAATGTAATGAATAGAAGAGTGAAAAGGCTCAACTATAAGGCTTTTGGAGTTAATACAAAGCCACTAGGGCTCTTATAAAGCCACAATGGCCCAGGAATAAAAATTTCAGGAACTTTATTAATACAGAGTTTACAGACTGACATATACCTCATAATTGCAAAAAAAATTTAGAATTTTCTGCAAGTGTAATGCTGCCAAATTTTCACTGTCAAGTGGAGCCATTGACTGTGTTGTGAGAGGATAATTCACTGGAGAATCACCTACAAAGGGAGAGGTGATGGATTCCAGGTTTTTAACATTCTCTGGGGAAGCAGGTTCAGTTGTATTAATTCTGTGGACTGTGGGAACTACAAGGTAGTACAGGTGGGCACTCCTCCATGTACATCTGTTTGTGTCTGCTTTTGTAACTGGTGCTCACAGGGAGTCAGGTTTAACTGCTGGGCTGTTTTCAGAGGAGTTACTTCCATGTGGAGTCTATTTCTATCCACCATGAGATGGCTTTACAGGTCTGTGTGTTTTAGTTTGTTGTTCAGGAAACTAACAGTTATCTCTGTATTAAAACACCATTTTACCTGCTTTTTATAACCTACCATTGGTGATAATAAATTTAAAGCAATTGCAAGTTTCTGCAATTGAAAATTTTCCCATATAAAATACAGAAAACCTGGACTAAGGAGGGGACCAGCCAGAGGTGTGCACATTTTTTGGACAACTGCTGTTTCAAAGAGCATCCTACAGTGGAGAAATACTTAGGTCAGTAAGAGTGAAAGAATGTGTCAAGTCACCCAGAAATGAAATGTAAACCTGTGAAACACAAGATCCAAAAAGACTGTGATTGTAAGCTAAGGAAGACTCATGTGTAACACCTTCTGTTCTCTTTGCTGTTAACTTTTATTTTGTGTACTGTAACTGCTCGTGGCACCAAAATTTGTCCATGACATGAGTACTTAGCATATTACATGATAAATTCCAAACCATCTCATAATGCATACTGGGTTCCCGTGTTTTAGAAACAAGCTGTATGTGAGAAGGAAAATTTATATCATACTTGCACAAAAGCTGCTTTTTTGATATGTTAAAGTGTTTTCTCCTGAGGTGTAATATTACATACAGGTGGCTATGAAATTGATGACATTGTTATAACAAAGAGCTGGTACCCAAATGCATTTGCAATGCAGCTACCATTTGGGATCAATATATTGAATATGCAAACCACTAAGATAATAAGGTTAATGTAATAGGATCACGTCTTCTCATATGTCTGTTATTCTAGGTCTGTTCACTGCACTCTGAGATGCAAGCTGTTCCTGTATGAGAAGTCAAAAGTTATAAGGGCCACTGTGTTGATTAGGGGTTGTCACCTGGCACTGCTGTCTTTCGGTAGCAGAAGAAAAAGGATTCAGATCGGACACAGAGACATCAGCAGGATCTTTCTGCTGGCATGTGCGGCTGGATCATGGCCCCTGTACTGCAAAAGGTTTCCATAAAGGGTATGAAACTGAGGACATGATCCAATAGTCTATACAGACATATATATATAACAAAAATAATACAACTAGGATCTTCTATGACCACTACAGGATACTAATATGTGTGCCTCTCATTTCTGTGGGTCAAAATGATAATAAAATCTTCCCCTCTAATTCTGGTCAGATAGCAGAAGGCAGAAGACAGAAGTGAGCACGCACATTGCCCTTCCTTGTCCATATCACCACTGGAACTCCTATGATAACATTCCACTAGGAATTAGAGTCCACCTGCTATAAAATCATAACTGTTTCCTATAAAACCCAGATTATTTCATATTTTAAATTACCTTATTTCAATCCCTTACTCTGTGATCTTGGATTATAAATTTTATGCTCAGAAATTTTTTTTTGCAAAGAACCTTGTCTCGTTTCTCTGGAAAAAAAATAATGTGTTGTCTTAAGCTCTGCAGGAAGTATTTCACTACCTTTACACATCTGGCAGTAATCTAATGAACCTCACTGTGTATCTCCTGAACATGTCACCTTGAATAAGTGAGGTGCTGTATTATTTATTCATTCTCGGTTGGATAGTATATCTCCCAAGCTGTCACCTTCTGGTCACAGTGGTCATTGTTATTTTTTTACTATGGCTAGTATATTTTTTTAACCATTTTTTCTCTCAACATTCTTCTTTCAAGTCACAACCTGAACACCCTCAATTATTTAGTAGAATGACTGGCATTTGAGGTAAAACTATATTTATATCTAGAATTCTTAGATATTATAATCTTCTAGGTTTAAAGTAACACTGGTTTAGAAATTTTTATTTGGTTTAGTTTCCTATTAATATTTATTTTTATATTGATAGGGTACTTTGCCAAATCCTGCCAAGCACTAGAAGGAGAAGGGGCTGAACCCACCCTGTCGCCTTCCAAAGGCTGCGATTGAGGGAGGTCTCCAGTAGCTGGAAAAAGGATAATTTTATGCCTTCAGAATGACAAGAAAGAGGGTCTGGGCACATGAAAGCAAGTAGGTGATTGGGATTGGCCAACATGAGATTACAAGAAGAAAATAGTGCCTGAGCAGCTGGAGTGGTTTCTGTGATGAGATGCCTGTCCATGTAGACAAGGGAGCAGCAGTGGGTGCTCTTGCCCTCACCTCAGTAAGGCTTTAGATGCCGTCTCTGCCAGCTTCCCTGCAGGCAAATGAGGGCAACGTGGTCGGGGTAGGTGGCTACACGGCAGCTGTAGGAGTGACTGGGCCTCAGAGCTCCAAGTATCAGGCAGCTGTTTGCAGTCTGCAACAGCCCATTGAGCGCTGTGCCTCAGTGACACCTAATGTCCTCGCCAGTGACCTGCTTAGTAGGTCAGGAGGGCACTTGGCAAGTGGGCAGGGTTTCATACCAAATGGGGGGGCTTGCTTCTCCAGGCAGGATGCTGGAGCGTAAGGCTGCCATCCAGAGGGACTCTGGCCAGCTCTAGATGTGGTTTGACTGGAACTTCATGGGGTTCGGACAAAGGCCAAGCTCTTCTTTCTGGAAGGAGCCGACCTGTGCCATGTTGCAGATCAGGCTTGCTCACCAGAAAGCAGCTTTGCTGCTTTCGGAGTCAGGTAGTTGGGGGGACACCCAAATTTGTTGGTGGACAAATTGAACACAAGTCTGCAGTGCACCCTTGTGGCAGCAGAGCCTAAGTGAATACTGTGC